CGGATAAAAGGAAAGAGGTCAAGGAGGACCACCTTGGGGAAGCTTCCTAAACCTTGATCTGGCCTGCCTATACCTGCATTTAGGGTTTAGGGTTCATGGGAATAGAGGGGGAGAATGGAGGAGGGAGGAGAATGAATGAGAGAATGGAGGAGGGAGGAAGAAGGGGGCAGCGGCGCGGCCTTATGTGCCCAGACCTCGGCATTGATTCGACACGCGCCGAAGTATGGGGTTCGGCATTAACTAATCCAACGCCGACCTCTGCGGGCCCCATGGCCACGGTAAAAAAAAACCGATCAGACGGAGCGCTGACGTGGCGTTACCTCGGCGTGAACTGACACTGCGCCGAGTCATAGACCACGACGTGATGTCCTAACACGCCGAGTGTTTGGTCTATTTCCAGAAAATGTTTCATCCGGGGGTTATTTGTAAAAAAAGTTTTCAAAAGGGACCAAAATACAAAAATTTCACTATATGTTGCACACTGTTATTCCATTACTATTGCGACAAATACTATGTGTATATATATGCAGCCGTTTTTTTTGGGTTGGGGGGGTTGCAAAAACTATGTATATGCAGCCATAATAATATGAGCACGAAATATAAAAGGACAGTAGGTCAAAGGGAGCCATCCGCATTGAGATGCGTCCATGCATCGTGCAAAACAATCATATCCCTATCACTGAAGGAAAAAAAAACATGAAAAAACACTAATTATATTGTGCATGTTTGTAGCTAACTAGCAAAACATACATGTGTGCTGCACGGAACGCTCTATACATCTTGGAATCGCAATCTGTATCATTGTTGGATGTGAGTTGTTCTACTAACTCATATAAGCACGTGTTATGAATTATTAGGTCACATACGGGATACAAAGGGAGTGAGGACAGTTTGGTTGTTTGGAATAGATCGCCATATATCATCACTGGAGACGATTTGTTGTAACTCGTTGAGCATGGATCAAGAATCTAGGTGACATGATACGGATCGAGCACAAGGACAATTTGAGAAACAAAAAGCGGGATGAATGAAGCAAAGTTTGAGAAGGAAAAAAGTGGATTGAAAGAAATGTTTCGCTAGCTCTTTAATAATAGGTTGAGAATTAGAGAATAAAGATAGAGATTATATTGCCACGTAACTTACGGGCGACAACTATTATGCGGTGACCAACCAACCCAACAAATCCTCACCGTCATTGTTTGAATTTGAATTATTAGATGCATCAACGGATGTCCCCACTCCAATTGCCTTTACAACTTCATTACTTGCATGATCATTACCCCCTTTTATGTTTTCCCTACTGGGACAATGATTATTACACTAATTATTAGTAAGCATGCAAGCTTTCTTTTCTTTTCCTTCTTTTTATGAAAAAACTACATTTTTTTTCATCCCCTTTCATACTACTTTTGAGAGGAAAAAAAAACAATCTCATACCCCTTTTCTCCCTACTATGACACCAGTACGCTGCAGCACTGCAGCAGTTCCATATATTCTTCTGCCATGCATGCGCAGCATGACTTGAAAGAGACCGAGCGAGGGCCCACATGTCGGGTGAGTGGGAGGATAGTGGTTAACACACACAGCCTTGGTATGGAAGCGTTAATTAGGCTAGCTAAGCCGTGCCACCCTCCAAGCCTCTCACAACATCCACCTTTCATTTTTCCCCCTTTCCCCCAAGTCTCCAACAAAAGTCCAAGTCTCTTACTCTCTTTTGTTTAGGTTGCAAAGTCCCTCTCAAGCAACCTACTGCTGGTCCATGATGTGATTCTTCTTCTCTTCATTCATTTTATAATAATCATGCAATCATATATCCAAATCATTTTATCTCAATTTAATTCTGGCATGTCTACTTGATTATAGGCATCCTGATGAGAGGAAAAGACCGTACTGTCCTTCCAGCAGCTAAGTTTATATGCCACAACAACATTTTCATTTGATATTTTGGATTTCACATTCCTTCTGGCTTGTCATGTTTATCTCAGTTCCCACTTCATCGACAGAGAAATAGCTAAAAAGTTACAGAGCCAAAAAGTGGCTGAAAGTATTCAGTCTTATCTGTGAATACTTTATTCGGAGTCAACCAAGATTTTCATCTGCAGTAAGTATGTCTTAAAAAGTCTTTTGGTACAACGTACCCTCTATGTTTCTACAGCCCTGTCCATGAACAGCCTGTTTTAGGTACAGAGTAGTTGGCTTAGCTTGCCCAACAATGGACAATTGTACCTAAGCTTGCACTAAAAGTGAAATAATCCAGAAAGACAATGCCTGCTCGTACTTTATTAAGCACCATACATTCATTCATTCCTTCTTTCTTTCTGGAATAACCACATTTTGCATGATGATTAGTTGTTGTACTAGTAATAATCTTTTGTCGTTCCATATATAATCATTCTTTTCTTGAAACAAACCATATGTAATCATTCCATCTGAATTGAAAAAAAAGGAGAAGAGATACCCGGGCGAGGTCAGTTACTCAGTTTAGTCAGTGTACTACTTTGGCATACAAAGGTGTCCACCACACACCAACTACACTCATGCGTTACACACAACACATTTATGAAAACCAGGAGAATTTTAATTCTGCTGATTGTCTCAGTCAGCAACCACCGCGTACCAGTTCTAGAAAAAGAAATCGCAGCACACCATCCTGCAGGCTGCCCCTCTTCTCTTCTCCCATTCGTTTTTATACCCTCGCCCAACTCAAGGCCATGGCGACCAGCTTGCTGTTAGCACCATTGCAGAGCACCAAAAGCAGAGGGAGGAGGAGGACGAAGAAGAAGGAGAGCAAGGCGAGGCGGCGGCGGCGGCGGCGGTAGCGGAAGCATGGACTGCTGCATCTGCAGCCCCATGGCGGCCGTGTACAGGCTTCCGAGGAACGCCATCTGTGCTCCCTGCCACGAGGGCGCCAAGGCCATCATCGGATTTCTGAACAAGGATGATGAGCAGCAGCAAGAAGAGGGCGGCCATGGCTCTGTGCTCAAGTCCAGAGGGTCTGTCAAAACTAACAGCCCAACCAAGGTACAAATTCCTCACTCAATGATCTGTTTCTTAGCTATTTCTGATTGAGCACATGTTTACATGTTACTTATATATCCTGATCGATTTTTCATACTGCTATAATTAGACATCTGAATTTTCTAAACCAACACTGTTTTTTTGGTTGAAATAGAACGTGCTAGTTCATTCACCTTTGGTTTGCTAGCATATACCAGTGTTGTTTGGTTTCTAGTCAGCTGCATGTCACAATCTCAGGACGACGTTTGCTGCATATACCAGTGTTATTAGAACATACAGTTCAGAACTCCCTGAGGTTTTGCTTTGCAGCAAAAAATCTCAGAAATGCAGTGCAGAGTGTATTTTCCTTGATTCTCGACTTCTCGCTCATTCTCAGTATGTTCAACTTTGGTGCCTTTTCAGTAGAGACGTTCAACTCTTTCCCTGACCCCTGCCATTCCGTATTTGTAGAAAATCCAATACGAAAGCCTGAATAATACCAAGACTACTAACATGTAAATGTAATTAAGGAAATGATTTCTGCCTTACAATCCATGGTAAAAGTGTAATGTAGTAGTAGGCAACAAGATGACACCGAAATCTATCAGAGATGATTTTTTGCCAAATAGAATTCAGTTCATTTTCTGAAGCAACCAACAAACGCAGGGAATGAGAGACGCATGGGAGCAGGTGAAGGAGATGAGAGGCAGGGAGGAGGAGGGCCACCAGAGAGCTGCCTTCCTCGCGCAGGGCCTGGCGATGGCGTGGAAGGAGGGAGTCCACACCGACATCGTCGTCAAACCGGGCACTGGCCCCCCAATCCCGGCCCACAAAGCCATCCTGGTAAGTGAATGGGCTTTTTAGACAGGAATATGCCTACTGGTTAGCGAACAAGTGGGCCTTCATTCACTGCATGCATTTCAAACGAAGCCTAGCCAGCCCATCAGATAATTAATAATAATCTGCTAAATAAAAGATAATTAATAATCTCACGTCTGATCTGATGCACGTACTACACGCAGGCCGCGAGGTCGGAGGTGTTCCGCCACATGCTGGCCGCCGACGAGCGCTGCAAGGCCCCCGCCGGCGACACCATCTCCCTCCCGGAGCTGACCCACGACGAGCTCGCCCTCTTCCTCGCCTTCTTCTACACCGGCGCGCTGGACGAGGACGGCGGCGGCGGCGGCCTCCCGGTCCCGGAGGAGCGGCAGCTGCACGCGCTCCTCGTGGCGGCCGACAAGTACGACGTGCCGTTCCTGCGGCGGGCCTGCCAGGCGCGGCTGGCGGCGGCCGTGGACGCCTCCAACGTGCTGCGCACGCTCGAGGTCGCGGAGCTGAGCTCCAGCGCGGCGCTCAGGGAGCGCGCCATGGACACGGTGGTGGAGCACGCCGAGCAGGTGGTGTTCTCGCCCGACTACGACGACTTCGCCGTCAGGAACGCCGGGCTGTGCGTCGAGATCACCCGGGCGCTGCTGGCCAAGATGAAGACTGTAGATAGATAGGCGAAATCACCTCTAAACCTCACCACTAGCGTTGGGCGTGACCTTGCATTATATTTATATTTATACAGTTTGGACACGGTTTTGTGGTATAAAAAAAGAATCTGTCTACCGGTCGCTCGGAGATCTTAAACAATCTGGAGGACACAGAGAGATATGGTGCGTGTAATTAATACTAATATTATTTGTCCCCTTAATGTTGCAATATAGACATAAATACAACATCAAGCGCGCATAGCGCACATTGTTGCAATAATTATACAGAGTAATTTGTCAAAATAATGGGCGGCCAAGATCGAGGACCATGCCTTCAAACAAAATAAAAAGAACAATAAAAACATACAAATAGTAATGTGATGATGTCACATGACACCATGCATGGTCATATAGCTGTCACAACATGCACGTACGGATTAGACACATGCAAATAGAATAGAAAAAACAGATGGATGCAATTAAAGGGTGTGATCGTCGTCGTCGCTGTCTGGACAAGGGAAGATGTCATTAATCTTCATATTCCCAACTTTGGCCACAATTCCAGATATCATGGAACTTGTCCACGATGCCGGTCTCGTCAGCTGAAGATGATGACGTCTTGTTCCAGCAGTCCTTCTCGCAGGCTGGTGGTTTCTGGTCTTTGAACTTGGCTCTGACACCCTTATAGGTGAGATAGGCGTTCATGTCGTCCTGCCCAGCAGGGAGATTGACCAACCCCTCGGCCATTGACTTGATGTTGGTGGCGCAGGCCTTGAGGCAACTGCAAGGCTTGCCCTTCGCTGCAGCAAGCAAGTGTCTTGTTCGCTTGGCTGATAAGTCATAACTAAAAGTACTGTTGGCTGATTTGGTGTGAGAGAAAAATACTATTCATTGGCTGAAAAAATATGGCTTATAAACCAAGCAAACAGGACGAAGGTGTCAGCAGCTCCGTTGTCTTGTTGGCAGCAAAATGCATGCACAAGTCGGCGACCTTGCCAGCGTTATTGTAATCAACCTCCTGGATCCCTGGGATGGACTCGATCAATCACCTTGACGCACGACGGAGAATCTGATGCTACTTGGCACCATTTCTGGTACTTTTCTGCTGTAGCTGCAGGGGCTGGGGTTGGTGCGCTACCGGAATCGACGACCGTGGAGAGGAGCATGAGTAGGAGGGGGAAAAGCAGCAGGAAGCTATGAGTGGAGCGTGTTGTTGGTTGCAATGATAAATTCTGTATGAGCATACTTAGGACCTTACTTATAGGTAAGTCACCGTCTATTTTTGCAGGCTTGCACTCAGAGTTTGTGGCTTAGGATGCAGTATTGACTTTGTTGGCTCTCCTTGCATTGCATGTATGCCTCTGTAGCTATAATGGGAGAAGTACGTGCATGGAGAACGATCGACCTCATGAATATCTGGCCTACCTCGATCACAAGTGTCTTTTAGTTCATCAAGTGCCATTTTGGGACATTTATATATATGTCTTACCGTCCAAATATAACCAACGACGACAGCCACATATATATGATCCACCATTTTCGGTCGCTTGGAGCTAGAGGAATATGTCGTCCAATCAAGGTGTCCGTCTACCACGGGTTTGTCCGAGATGCATGTGTGTGCATGAGAGATTGATCAGAGTTGCATCTGCTCGATTTAATTTGCATCATCCACTAGAGTGAGTTATTAGTAGTCGAAGTTGAATCTGCAGCTAGCCAGAGCTGGCCAGTAGATCGAGAAATTCTGATACAATATATTGACGTATTATTCTGTGGCAGTGTGGCACGGACTGTAGTTTTCTTTATTCTCAATCTTTTTTATACCGGCCTAGTACTTTGATGAAAATAGCCCATCTGAAAAAAACTGTTTGTAGATTTAATCTTTTTTGCCGCGTCATGTGCATGTCGCGTGGCATAACAAGTGTACAGCACCACATACATTACCACCGTACCGCATGCAGGTGTTCGTTCCACATCGGAACACGTACACGGACGCACAAGGATTATCGGAGTCTAATACCACATACAGCACCACTCCTTGGCACTGCCGCACATACTTTTATTACAACGAATGCTCACTACTTGAAACTAAAATGTCCCGGTCGGCAGAGGCTCAACTGACAAGGAAATACGATATTTTTCGGTCGGTTTCAGATGAACTGATAGAAAAATACGAAAATAATCGTCAGAAAAAGTATGAATACCTCTGTTGGTCCTATAAATAACACAAAAAAAATTTAAGTTGTCCTGTGTGTTTCGTAAAAACTGACAGAGAAATTATGTTTTATGAGGAGCCAAGACCGAAACAGCTAAGTGTATAAAGTTGTGCTCAGATAGCTTTTTGTTGTGTCAACAATAGTGTTTTTAGGTTCCAGTCCTAATAATAGTCCTGATAGTTCCTGTACTTTTTTTTATTTATTTTCCTTCCTCTCTGTTCTTAACTAGCTATGCATGGGCAAAAGCAACTGTAGAGCTTTGCCTTATTTTGCTATTATGTGCACAAGCCTTCTCTAGTTCGATCTTGCACAAGACAGGGGTATCTGAATTTGCAAAGCTAAGTCCAACTGAACTTCTTGTAGGGAGAAGTAAGGACTGAAAAGAACACTGTTGGTGATCCTGATTTACCTGCTCAGCGTCGTCAATTTGTAGGGAGAAATCACTACAGGAAACTGGCTCTTTGCCGACTGCAATTTTCTTTGCCAACTGTTTTTTTTCGACACTAAGAAGAGGTCGCTTTGTTAACCTGGAATTTCCTGCAATCGGCAAAGCGAGGATTTGCCGATCGTTCGGCTTTGCCGATGCGCCAGCAGTTGGCAAAGAATTGCAGTCGGCAAAGGCAGGCCATGGTTGACGCCATCCACACCGTCATTTTTGCATTGCCACGCCTCCGTCGCCATCGACAAAGCGCGAGCTTGCCATTGCCATCCTCCTCAGCGGCGGCGGCAAGAATTTTATTTTTTGATTTTCGATCCAGTTTTTGTGTTGCCTTGATCGATAAGTACATGATATATTCCAAGTTTGGGATCATTTTGATTTATTTTGCTATATAAAAAAAATCAAAGAAACAGAAAAAATCAATGGAATATAGCAAAATAAATCAAAATGACCCCAAACTTGGAATATATCATGTACTTAATGTAGCAAGGCAACACAAAAAAACTGGGATCGAAAATCGAAAAAAAAAATTAATTCTTTGCCGACTGCCATCAGTGGCGGTTGGCGAAAGATCCTTTGCCAATCGTCGGGGAGGATGGCAAATCGACAAAGAATTTCGAGAGAAAAATCAAAAATAACCTTTGCCGATCGCCAGGGGAGAGAAGCAATCGGCAAAGTATTTTTAAAAAATTAAAAAAATAATTTTTGAAAAAAATAATAGACCTTTTGCCGATTGCGTCACATGTCTTGGTGATCGGCAAAGGGAAAAAAAAAAAAAAAAAACGTCGCCTCTTATCCGCTCGGCCCGCCTCCCTCCCCAAAATCCCGCCATGCCGCCACCCCAGCCGCCATTGCCGACGCCGCTGGTGGCGGGCCACGCCGGCCAGATCATCCCGCGCCCTCCCCTCCCCCCCCCCCTCTCTCTCTCTCCAGCCGGTGAGATCCTCCTCCTCCACAGACGCCTCCTCCCATGGGCCCTGTGCCCCTACCTCCCGCCCCATGGTCCGTCCCCGTGGCGCTGGCCCCTCCTCGTGGCGCCCCGCTGGCTGGTCCCCCATGTTGGTCCTCCTCGTGTGTGGCGCCCTCCCATGTGGCCCTCCCCTCCGTGGCCCCCCATGTTGGTCCCCTCAGGGTGTGGGCCCTCCCATGCAAGGGCCCTCAGCCCCCCCCTGTGGTCCCTCCCCCGGCGCGTCCCCCCTTGGCCCTTGTGGCTGGGCCCTTCCTTTGGCCCCCGGCCCGCCGCCCAGTTTCTCATCCGTGCCGCTGCCGCCCGATCCGACCCGGCCGGCCAGGCCGGCGGCCAGCTCGGCTCGGCGTCGGCCTGCGCAGCACGGCCTCGCTCCGACCCGCCCGTTGCTGTCGCTTGCCGCCGCCTCGATCCGTGCCCCGCTCGCTCGTCCGCCGTCCGCCGTCCGTAGCGTCCGCCGTCCATGCATCCAGCGCGCCGTCTCCGCAAGGCCTGCGTCGCCGTCCTCGCCTGCGCGCCGTCCTCGCCTCGCCGTGTTGCTCCTCGCCCTGCCCGCCGTCCCGCCCTCGCCGTCTCGCGCGCGCCTCGCTCCGCGCGCCGGTGACGCCGTCGTCCGTGACGAGGAGGTAGTAGTACTACTAGTAGTAGTAGTTTACTTTGTTAATACCTTATATTCTTCGCATGGATTGGAAATACATTTGTGGTTGTCGGCCATCGTCGTGACATGTATATGTGTTTGTCGGCCATCGTGCCATCTTTTCTTGCGGTTTGGTAACCTTCCGTCTGAGGGAGGTGCTGCCAAAATTTTCGTTCTCACTAATTGTTTTTCTTTTTCGGGAGGGCTCCCATTGGAGGCTAGCCGGAGGAGCACGATTTCGCAATCGCCCCACTAGCCTTTCTTCACCGCAGACTCTGCGGTATGACCCCTCTTTCCGCCACATGTAGTCATAGGTCGCGTTACCCGCTTTAAGCGTCTCCGTCCAAACGGATACGGTTGGAAGTATGCGTTCTTCAGATATGTATAACCGTATCCGCTTTCGGATTGTCCACGTTATTTGGAGCAGCCGAGGATCTGTGAGACGAGGTTAGCTCCCATGTTTCGCTCCCGTCCGAAGTCGGAGTTTGGCGAGACCTCCCGTTGTTCTCTCGGATACACACTCTCCCCGCCGGGACGTGTATCGGGAGAACAATGGGGAGGTGTCGCCAAATTCCGTCTCTTTGACGGGAGCGGAGCATGGAAGCTAACCTCGTCTGCAGATGCTCTCGGGTGGGATTAGGACCTATCCTTCACCTATTAGATGGTAGGAGCGCGTTGTAGATGCACTTGCTGGTTTTATCACATGTTAACATTGCCGCATGACAGAGCATGGGTGACCGTGAGTGGATGTACTCGGGCTTCGCAAGTAAGAGCCACGAATGGATCAGGGGGACGACTGAGTTCCTGGAGCATGCATTTGGCCCAGCTGCTAAAGGGTCGATTCGGATGCCGTGTCCCTGCAGCGAGTGCAGGAACAAGAAGAAGAAAGTAAAGGCTCAGGTGTTGAGAGATCTGTTCAAGCACGGGTTCGTTCCAAACTATACCCGTTGGCGCCACCATGGTGAATACCATCCTATTAGGGACGAGGTGGTGCGACCCGTCCTCGAGGAGTATGATGGCGATGCCGGGATGGCAGACATGATGGCAGACTTCCACGAAGCACGGTTTGGCGAAGGAATGGATGTGGAGGAAGATCCGGAGCAAACCGCGAAGGCCTTCTACGACATGATGGAGTCGGCACAGAAGCCCCTTCACGAGAAGACAAAGCTTACATGGCGGATGCCGCCTCACGCTGATAGGGTTGAAGTCGCGGTGGGCATTAGTCGAGACGGCCCGATCTCGTGTTGAGCATTGTTGGGGGACTGCTTCCGGCAGATCATGTCCTGCCGACGAACACCTACGCTACACAGAAGCTCCTTCGTGCACTTAAGATGCCGTATGAGGGGATCCATGCTTGTCCGAAGGGGTGCGTCCTGTTCAGGGGAGACCTCGAGGAAGCAAAAACCTGTCCGAAGTGCGATGCCTCTAGGTTCGTGTTGGTAGAAGGCTCTGATGGCAGCATGAAACAGTCTAAGGTCCCCGAGAAGGTCG